TCCGGAGGCCATTCTTCTCAGATGGGTGAACCATCATTTGGAGAATGCTGGCATCGCCAGGCGGTGCAACAACTTCCAATCTGATATTACGGATTCTGAGATTTATACTTATCTCATCAAACAAATCGCACCCAACTCGACTGGTGTTACCCTGGAAGCCTTGATGGAACCGAATCACATGTCTAGGGCGGAGATTATGCTCCAGCAAGCTGCAAAATTGGGTTGTCGTAGTTTTGTGACGCCTAGTGATGTCGTGAATGGCATTTATAAGCTTAATTTAGCCTTCGTCGCCAATATGTTTAACAATTACCCTGGATTAGATAAGCCAAAAAGCAACATTGAAGGTTTAGAATCTTTAGAAGAGACGCGAGAGGAAAAAACCTATAGAAATTGGATGAACTCAATGGGCGTATCGCCACATGTTAACTGGCTCTACTCAGATCTTGCTGATGGTCTAGTGATCTTTCAGTTGTACGATATCATCAAGCCAGGCACTGTAAATTGGAATAAGGTGCACAAGAAATTCACAAAACTTCGTAAGTTTATGGAGGCATTAGAGAACTGTAATTACGCTGTCGAGTTAGGTAAACAGATGAACTTCTCGCTTGTGGGCATCGCCGGAAAGGATATTAATGATGGAAATGCAACCTTAACGTTAGCCCTGATATGGCAGTTGATGAGATCATATACATTGTCGATTCTAACGTCTCTAGCGGGAACTCAAGGAAGTACCGTAGAGAAAGAAATCATTCAGTGGGTGAATTCTAAACTCCAGGCAGCTGGAAAAAGCAGTATCAAAGGATTTCAGGATTATTCAATAGCGGATGGCAAAGTCGTCCTCGATCTCATCGAAGCAATCAAGCCCGGCTCGGTTAATTACAATCTTGTTAAGGAGGGTGGAACTGAACATGTAAGATTTTCGCTTTTATTTCTCGATTTTTGAGAGCTTGTTTTCCCAGTTAATGTCAAAGTTAATATATTTGTATTGTAATAACTACTTTTATAGGTATGATCAATCGTATTACAATTATGCTTTGCTTTATCTTTATTTACGTTGTGTCACGTATCATTGATATCGAGCTTTGCCGGCCTTAATTCATAATGCAAGTTAATTAAATCTTGCAACTTTAAATTGCACAAAAATAATTTTGATAAATTTGAATCAAATATTGTCGATTTTTTTTTTATTTTAAAGGAGATACTGATCATATTCTGAAAGAAGACAATAAGACTTCAAAAACTTTTGCAGATTTCTATTCTTTTATGACTTATACTACTTATAGAATTGGTAAAATTTAATAAATATATATCCAAGTCAATCTCAAATTTATGTTTTGATCGATAAAAATAATCTGTAATTGCAAAATTCTTGCAAACTAAACCCTCATTACATATATGTTAGTAGTAGAAAAACACTTGTCCCTACTAATTATCCAGCATATTCAAATAATCTATATCCACAAATTGTTTCCTTCAATCTTCTAATATCTGTCTGCATACCTGTAGGTATTAGCCGTATCTATAATTAATATTAAATAATAAATTGAAAATTTTTCTCCTACATTATTCACGGAAGTTTAAAATTAAAAGTTTCGATTACACGAAAATGTGGAACATTCTAGATGAATCAATCCCTCTTCACGCCTTATTGTTGATATGACTAATTAACAACTATTGTTTTTTTTGTTGCACAGGAGAATCTGGACAATGCGAAGTATGCGATATCTTTGGCGCGAAAGTGCGGTGCGCGTGTCTACGCGTTACCGGAAGACATTACCGAGGTGAAGCCAAAGATGGTGATGACGGTATTTGCCTGCCTGATGGCGATGGACTACATGCCGAACATGGACTCTGTAAAAAATCAACAGAACAACGTAAATAACGGCCAATAATGTCGGCATCAATCCATCACTGTGTTATTCCACCTAACACGTGCCGTTTATCTTTTGTATACAAGAACTTTTGATCGGATTGCGTCGCACACGCTTCTTCCATGAGCGTAATATTTGTACATACGTAGATTAAGTTAATTTGTTTTTGAAGAGAATATTAGGGATTACTACTGCTAGGAAAAATTCATGAAATGAGAAGGGGATTCCTTTGGAATCTGACGAAATATCATTTGATCCCTTTGTTAAACGAACAAAATACATAACAAGGATTGTTAAGATCATATTTGGTATAAGAAATTATATTATTACTATAAAATCTGAATATTTTTTGATTAAAATGTGAAAAATGAATATGTCCATATAGTCAATTAAATTAATGTATGTGCGATGTAAGATTTCCAAATTTAAAATAATTTTTAAGTAAACTATTATAAAATGGCGATAATAATTTTGATCTAAGTATTCAAGATTTACGGTATCAAATGCCGATATTTCTCGTGCCAGAAAGTGTATTTACTTATAAGATAAGAAAAGTACAGATTATTATGTGTAAGTCGTTTGAATCGGCACTATTTATTCTAAACACTTTTCTATGTGCGACTTATCATATCTTACTGTGCAAAGTGGAATTCTCCTTCTCCATTGTTTATGCAATCATATCATTCGTTTTTATATTATACATATACTACAATATCAGGTTTGTATAAATCGATTTTACATCGAATACTCAAGTGAAACAAGTAGAAAACATGCTAGAAACCATTGAAAAATATTCAAAGCGCATACTCAAAGATTCAGAATGTACAGGGTATACCAGCATTAATTTCAACAATAGATTTTTTAGAAAAATTTTAATTTTGATTCTGTTAGCAAGAGCATTGATCATTGAATCTTAAAATTATTATTTTATTATTATTATTTTATTGTAAAATAATAATTTTCGCGAATTTTTTTCTCTTCAAAGAAAAAAACTTATTTTTTTTCTCTTCAAAGAAAAAAACTTATTTTTTTTGTCAAGAAATTAAAGTTTTGTACTATTCTGTATACATTTTATGTAGATAAATCTTGTTTTGCAAATACATGCTACATAGAATAATTTAACATTCAAATAGTACATAGTACAGTCATAAATATACTTACACGAAATACACATATACGTATTTGATAATCTAGATGTAAGAGATTTGTGATCTATTTAAATGGTTATTTTATACACTCAATCAGTGATTCAATCAGAAGGTTATAAGTCATCACGGTCTAAAGCTTTTTAATTAACTATTTTTCTTGCACATTAATATTGCATGAACGAATTTTATATCCAGCGTAATTTACAATGACTGTACAAATTATATACTTTATATTTCTTTCTATATATATATATA